ATAGCTTCACTTCCAGAGTAGTCTAAAGTGGTAGTTCCATCCAAAGCACATTACAATAGAGCATGAAGTTAAACTTACTCCTTTGTTTACATGTAGAAGAAAATACATTCAAATTATTCCAAACTATCAAATCACACACAGAGATCACTTAGGGAACTTTGTGGAACTCAGAGTTATGAACTGACCCGTCAACCACACACCTCATTTGGACCTGGAAGTATGCAATCAGTCAGCAAGAGACAAAAAAAGGCAAATACAGTACAGTACTGTGTCAAATGTAAACTATTAAAAAAATAAAGGGAAAATTTTTTAAAATAAGGTTTGACAAAGTAAGGCAACTGTTTCTGTGCTTGTTTCATTTAAATAAAATGGTTAAAAGCAGCATTTTTCTTCTGCATAGTAAAGTTTCAATGCTGTATTAAGTCAATGTTCCGTTGTAAACTTTTGAAACAACAGCCATAATGTTTTGTTGAGAGTTACGAACATTTCAGAGTTACAAACAACCTCCATTCCCGAGGTGTCCATAACTCTGAGTTTCTACCGTATCAATACTTAATCCTGCCATGAGTACAGGGGACTGGACTAGATGACCTCTCAAGGTCCCTTCCAGTCCTAGGATTACTCTTCTCTCTCTCCCCCCCACTTTTCTGTCTGTTACACTGTAAAACTTTCAGGGCACGTCTTCCTCTTTGTTTGTACAGCCCCTAACACAAAGGGGCCCAAGTCTTGATTAGGACCTCAGAGCATTACTCTACAAATGATAAACAGTAATAAATACATTACCATCGAGGTCCCCCAAATTCTACAGCTTAGAAGCTAGCTATTTAAGAATTCTGTCAAGTAATTACACCAATTTTCATGTTTGTTTTCTTTATTCAACACCAGTCACTCCAATGACTTTTTATCTGAATCAGCTGAAACACTATTCTGAATACGTTGAGAGAGAATGTAATTGCCCAATAACATTGTACCTGATCAATTCCCTACAATAACGAATGCCCTCCGAAGATTGTTGTACACTTAAGATCTACCGTATGTGAAATACCAGCAAAAAAAATTTGCAATTCAAGCATTGCTACCACAAGATTGCACCAAACGAGATTTCCCTGCTGTTAAAATAAACAAACACTTTCATGTGGAAGGAATAGATTCAAAAGAGAATACATTTATTTGAATCTTTTGGCATCCCATAAATGAAATACAGGTCTTGTCTCAGTTTCAAATCTTTATTTTACTTAAAAATATTTGGAAAAGTAACTGATATGGAAAGAAATCTTTCAAATCTTTCCATGCAACTTATTAGTGTTGCCAACTTTCTAATCGCACAAAACTGAACACCCAAGCCCCCCACCCATTCCCCCAAGGCCCCGCCCCCGGCCTGTTTCCCAAGGCCCCTCCCTCGGTGGCTCACTCTCCCCCACCCTCACTCACTTTCACTGGGCTGGGGCAGGGGGTTGGAGTGTGGGAGGGGGTGAGGGCTCTAACTGGGGGTGCGGGAGAGGGCTCCAGGCTGGAGCATGGAGTTGGGGTGCGGGAGGGAGTGAGGGCTCTGGCTGGGGGTGCAGGCTCTGGGATGGTGCTGGTGATGAGGGGTTTGGGGTGCAGAAGGGGGCTCCAGGCTGGGGCCAAGGGGTTCAGTGTGTGGGAGGGGGCTGCGGGTTTAGGCAGGAGGTTGGGGTGCAGGAAAGGGTATGGGCTCTGGGCTGGGAGTGTGGGCTCTGGGGTGGGGCTGGGGATGAGGGGTTCAGGGTGTGGGAAGGGGCTCTGGGCCGGGGCAGAAGGTTGGAGTGCAGGGGGGGGGGTGAGGGCTCCAGCTGGAGGTGCAGGCTCTGGGGTGGGGCCGGGGATGAGGGGTTTGGAGTGTAGGAGGGGGCTCTGGGTTTGGGGGGGCTCAGAGCAAGGGGTTGGGGCTCGGGGGTGGGGCATGGGCTTATCTCAGGCAGCTCCTGGTCAGCAGCACAGCAGGGCTAAGGCAGACTCCCTGCCTATCCTGGCGCCGCGCTGCGCCCCAGAAGCGGCAAGCAGCAGGTCTGGCTCCTAGACAGGGGGGCCAGGAGGCTCCGCATGCTGCTCTTACCTGCAGGCACTGCCCCCCCCGCAGCTCCCACTGGCCGCAGGTCCCGGCCAGTTGGGAGTGTGGAGCCGGTTCTTGGGGCGGGGGCAGAGCGCGGAGCCCCATGGCCTCCCCGGCTAGGAGCCGGACCTGCTGGCTGCTTCCAGGGTGCAGCACGGTGCCAGAACAGGTAGGGACTAGCCTGCCTTAGCCCTGCAGCACCACCGACCGGACTTTTAACGACCCGGTCAACAGTGCTGACCAGAGCTGCCAGGGACCCTTTTTGACCAGGCGTTCCAGTTGAAAACTGGACACCTGGCAACCCTACATCTTATTTATAAAAAAATCGGAAACTTTTGAAAGATTAGACTTCTAAACTATCCCTTCAAGAGGAAAATCAGATTGTCCAGCTATAAGGAGACATTCATATGGTTTTAATCAAGCCGCAACCTTATTATTAGATGTCTGGGACTACCCTGCAGATAAGTGTACATAGTGCAGGTAATCCCATGTTCATTCAGTAACTACTGGTGGGGGTTCCGCCAACCCCCCTTCTTTTTCCATCCAGGTCCCCCAGACAACCCATTGCTAGGACCTTACCAGCCACCCCCCCCCCATAAGAGGGCTAAGACAGGAAGGTTGGCCCCTGCTGCACCATTCATAGGAGCCCCCCCCCCTCCCCACCCTTGTTCTGTTCCTTTAACAAACACCTCCTTTAAGTCCTTTACCAAACCATTTATCCGGTCACTGTACCTTCTCTGGGGAGTACCTGCATGGGACAGCTGCCCCACACTTACTGAATGAGTTGTGACATCATAGCCTAACTCCCTTCATGCCTCACATCAACAAAGCCCTCCCCGAACCTGCTGTGGGTAAGGTGAAAACCCCCAACTCCACCTAGATCAATCTGGTGGTGAGGGAAAAATTCCTTCCCAGCCCCTCCCCCCAAAAAGGGGAGGCTAGCGCAATGCCCACAGCAGGTCTTGACCAAACTTGGTATTTCACCACCTAAAGGGGAGGGAGGGTCGATGCTGCCCCAGCCTGATCCGTGTAAGAGGGGGCTTCACCGCACAGGGCAGCCCATTTTAAACCCTTCCGCCCATCCAGTTCCCAGGGGATGAGTTAGTCTTGCCACTCTGGCCCCTTGTCCCCTCTTGCAGCAGTTTGACCTCTCCCTTCTTCCCCCAATACAGCCATAAAGCACAGTTCCCTTCATTCAGCCAGCCAGCCAAGTTCCCTCCCACTTAAAAGGTGCGCTGTGGTCATTTCCTTCAAGAGGCAAAAAAGATATGACAATATACGGTACTAAATCAAAACACCATAACTAACACCAGTAGATTAAGTTATGGTAGAAAGCATGTGAGTTCCAAGATTACAATCAATCCATTTCTATACATACAGGGCTCCTACATAAAAATTAAATGAAGAACAACAAATGTTGCATATATAAATCAGAAGAGGAAACATACATGTATATTCTATATAATAATAACGTAATCCTGGAAAGCAGGAAGTGAACATGGTAAAAAGGGTTTTGTTCAACTCTTTTTCTTAATGTGAGATGGCTCCTTTGACTCTTCATAACAAAACAAGTGATACTCCAGAAACAAAAGGAAACCCATTTCCCTCCAAATTGTAGACTGGGTCATCTTGACAGGTGATTTTCCAGCCTACGGCCCCAATTCTGCAAAGACTTAACATCAATTACTTAAAATGGACTTGAAGTCAATGGGACTATTCACAGGGCAGAAAATTAAGCAGATCTGTAAAACTTTGCATGATCAGGCATTAGAATGGGCTCCCTTCCAATTAAATTACAACATGGAGACTTTTCAAGCAGTTGGACTCCTTTCATAAGCACTCATAATTAGTAACGTTTTATAATGAAGTATACACAACTATTTTGGAAAATCTTACGCATGTTGACTACGGACAGGAAAATGTATGTTTCTGTACATTATATAGGTTACTGAAGATTGTTTGGCAGAGGGTTTTGTTTTTTGGTACTTTTTTTTTTTTTTTTTTAAGATAGGATTCTGGTCTTTGGTTCAGCTACATTAGACGTTTCTGAGCACTTATTTCAGTTTTCACCTGACCAGAGAGAGTGAAAATGCTCCTGTAATTCTTGCTAAATTATAACCTGACATGGTTTATGTCAAGGAAAAAGCAGAAGACCTGTGGGCTAATAGCTATATTTTGCTTAAGTGAATAGAAGGGATGCACATGGCAGCATGAAAATGAAGTTTACCTTTGTTCCTCATGACACCATCTCTTTAAAATAAAATTATTTTGTGAAATATAGTAACACCTTTCCAAATCTCACTTCAACTCAAAAGCCCTATATTCTCACACACAAAAATAGGAGTTTCTAACATTTAGCAACAGACTAAAGGTTACCAGTTTGTAAACACTACAGCTGTACTGAGGTCTTTTATCACTGACTTCATTAATGTTACAAAATAGATAATACATTTACTGATCTATTATGTTATCAAATTAAAGAACTTGTCAAAATAAACAAACAGTCAATTTTGTACCCTTTTTATTGGGTGTTAGCTTACTTGCAAATTTGCAAAATTCAGTAATCCTCAATGGGTCTCCTACTCAGTGCAAATCAGTGAAAGTCTACTCAGTTCTTAACCGTATAATTGGAATACTGTGTAATTGGCTAAAATTCCTGGTAGTTATGCAATTACTTGAACAAAATCCTGTTTTTAACAACAAAAGGGTAAAAGATACTCTATTTGTAGAGATTTAATTTAAAACTATACAAATATGCATTAAGTTGGGCTGCGTATCCATTTTTACTATGCTACAGGATAAAAAAGAGGTTAATTCTATTTAAACATCAAAAATTCTTCCAAGACAGCATATGTATTTAAAGTCATAAGAAAAAGAGGATATTTGGAGCTCACACGCCAACAAGGACACACCACATAACTCCTACCTCTCTGACTTCATGGAGTTGACCAGTATATTGACTCTTGGCTCTCCGGGCTGCTGCAGGCGATTTGTGATGTGTAACGGTAACAACGGTCGGTCCACTTTGACCCTGATGTTTTTGACTACTAGGAGATGCAGAATTACTCATCCCAGGAGGAATCAAAGACAAGTTTCTGTTTCGTGAGGAGGGAGTGCTCTAGAATAAGCAACAGGATGTTAAAATGAAGAATTAAGATACATGAATGCATAATGTATGACCAAAAACTCTAAGGCTGCACTCTTCTCCTTATAAAACTGAACCTGGAGAACTATAGGCACTCAAGTCTTACTGATGACAAAAAACGCTGATAACAAGTATGGTGAAATTATGGCAAGGATCAACCCTGATAATGCAGAAGTCGCTTACAATTACCTGGTTTGTTGAGATTTCTGAAGTAGGCTTCCCTAGCTCTGGCGAGTAATTTCCAAACATTGCTATATATTAATATGCTGGAAGTGTCTTTGTAGACAAACACACAAACCTTTTAAAGAGGGTAAATAATCTGCTTTTCTAAGCACAAAAGAATCTCAATTACGCTGATACAACTAGATTTTATAAAGTCACTGACCTGTAATTCACGAGGCATGCTTGCTGATTTTACAAAAAGGTATTTAGTTAAAGTTAATGCTTTCCCCTGTTTAGTTTCTGAAATAGTTTGATGCTTCCTTTGCATAATTTTCAAAGCAGCAGCCATTGTAAGGCCCATACTCCAGGTTAAATTAAAATGTGAAGCAGAAGTGTGCTTTGAAAGTGTCAAGAGATATTTTGGGGAGTGGATGAGGACAGGAGAGGGAGGCAATGGGGTGAGGGGGAGGCAGTGGGAGCCAGGGGCGCTTGGGGGTGAAGCCCAAGGGAGGCAGCAGGGACCAGGGGCGCTGGGGGTGGGGTGGGTGGAGAGCCCGGGGGAACCCAAGTGCAGTTCCCCTGAAACTGTGACAATGATATTTTATTTCATTTTTTCTAAAGGCCCAAATCCAGCAAAGTACTTAAACGTGCTTAAGTCCAAGCACTTTAGCAGTTCCATTGATTTCAATGGGACTACTCACATGCTTATAACTGAGCATATGCTTAAGAGTTTGCTTGATTGGGGCCTTAATGTCAGAACATATTATACTAAATAATAATTAAGAACTGGAAAGTCACACTATTAAACTTTGTAATGTTAACAGCAAAAGTGGGTCAGTTGTGAAGCTTCCATCCAAATTCAAGTTCCTCAACTTCAGATCTAAATCCAAGCCCCTTCACAAGAGTGTTGGGATTCGGAATTCTGAACTGGCCCATCATGAAAATAAACGAGCTGTGAAGGTGAAATCTGGACCTAGATCTGATCAACCTCATGTTTCTGAGTGATTTGGATTCTGTGTCCTAGTTTTGGGTCCATCTCTAGTTAATAGTGAACTGTAAAGAGAAAAGGGAATGGCAGGCAAGCCGAGAAACATGACTTGACTGTCCCTGCTAACTGGGCTGGGCACAGGAGATTGAGCACAGAAATCTGTTTTAATTTACTTTCCAAAAATTCTTTCAAACCACTATCCTCCTGCATTGAAATCTGTTTTTACAGGTTTGCTAATGACACCCCATATTTATCATTCTGTGATACTACAGATACCAGAAGAGTCAGATGCCAGAAGAGACATCATAGCCACCAGGAAGGTTAGCATGAGATTACTGGTACTTGTGATACCCAAGAGAGCCAATGTCTCCTTGTAAACCCAGAAGAGAGAGCAGATTCAAATGGAGAGGGAAAAGAATTGTATAAGGTTAAATTAGAACTGATTCCTGACATAATTATTGGTTGCTGATACTATCACAAGAACTCTAAAAATGATATCAAATGATTGTTTTGCAAATATCTGTTCTTCAAATTGATATAAAACACCAGTGCAATCCAGAGCTTCTTTGTGTGTAGCTTGCTTTTAGAAGAGTCTCTATCTGCTGTTACATAATGTCATAAGAAATTCGAAGTAGCCAGGGCAGGCTCCAGGCACCAGCATAGCAAGCAGGTGCCTGGGGCGGCCAACGAAGAGGAGGGCGGCACGTCTGGCCGTTCGGCGGCAATGGCGGCAATTCAGCGGCGTGGCCGTCACTCCCTCTGGGAGCGAAGGACCTGCTGCCGAATTGCCGCCAATTGCGCTTTTTTGGAGGGGGGGGGTGCTTGGGGCGGCAAAAACGCTAGAGCTGGCCCTGGAAGTTGCTCTAGAAATCAAAACTCCTTTGTCTCGAGTGCCTGCCCTGAACCTCACTGCATAACACAGAACCTTTAAATTGTGTCCTCCCCTCCCTGTCAGCAGTTACCAGTCTCCTCTACTATTAATAATGGTCTGAGTTTTTTCCCCCTCTATGAGTTCAATTGTTCACATATCTGATCTTTTAATAGGGTTGTTACTCCATGGCTTATTCACTGCATCACTCAAAGTTATTTTATCCTAGAGAAAGCCTGAAGTATTGCAGTTTCAGTCAGGCACACAGATGTATCAGAACACATATAATGTATCATTGCAGATATCACAGTGATAGATGCTTTAGTGTGTTATCTATATATGGTCCATCACAGCCTAGGCTATTTTTGTCCATGTTTGAAACATGTTGTTAGTGGTTTAATTTCCACCCTTAGAGAGATCTATGTAATGTGCTTGCTAAGCTTCTTTCTTCTGTTGTATTATATTCTTGTTATATGCATACATCTTTTGTTTTGATTTTATTTTAGTATCAGACAAAATGGCATGTATTGTACACTGACAACAACATTTTAATAAAAATGAGAGTGGCATAGATGCAATATTTTGAGTAAAATACAGGTATGATCCCACTATTTCTACATACAAGTTCTATATATTCATACTTGCAAAGAACAGGTAGATGAGTTTTCATAGTTGCAAAGAGAATTATTGTAATAAGTGAATGGAAATGGAAGAAGAAGTCTTATTTTCATCAGTAGTGCCTATATACTCAGAATGGCCTCAAATTTGAAACAGTATATTGTAATTTGGCCAGTAAATAGCAACTGAAAGTATTCTCCTTTTTATCCCTCAAAGGCTAGTTAATGACCCTGCAATCATGTATAATGACTGTCACTTTCATTAAAAGGTATTAGATCTAAAACTGACAAGCTTAATTTATAATTAGCATTGGGATTAAAGTCAGACATTGTGTATAACAGTCATGGTAATAGTAAATTTTGTCACTCCAGATAATCCATTTTACCAACACATATAAAAGAGGCAAGGAGGGGACTTTGTTACATATTTTAGGAGAGCAATTACCTCTACACTCAGCCAAAAGATTGAGACATCTGGTATGTCAGAACCTGATACTATAAGCCCTACACGTGCAGAACATACTGAGACTACTCTCTATGCAGTGTAACAAAACACAGAGTACATAGATCTGGTTTAATGTATATCCTCATCATACACAAACACGCTTCAGAAGTCATAACCCAATCCTGCAAACATGGCTAAGTGCAGGGTTTGCTACCGTGACTAACTACAGTTATAAGCATCAGCCATCCATTAAACTAACCATCATTGCTGGTGTTTTCCACTTGTGTTAAACAGAACTTGGACTAAAATGAGAGGCTTATTGTTTTTAAGTTATCTTTGGTTATATGGTATTGCTTAGATACAATTACAACTGAAGATATTTACAACACTGGGGAATCTAGATTCTTTACCTCTGATGACTCGAGCCTTCCCTCTTATTAGAAGGCTTACTGAAATAGGCTGTATCTAAGTATATCAAAACATCACATATTTCCGGTATGATAAACATACAATATAGATTTTTCCTTTTAAAAATTTGACTACCAACATAATGTATCCAATGGTAAAAGGGGGAAGGGAGAATCCTGGTAATGGGATATTTTTCAGAATAAGATCTGAAGCCCACCTCTCTCCGTACACTTCAGAGCCTGAACTCCAGCCCAAGCCACAACTTCCAAGCACTGTCTACACAGCTATTGTGAACGCACTAGTCTGAGCCCCGCAAGCCCAAGCCTGTGGACCCAAGCTGGCAAGCTCACTCCAAAATGCTGTGCCTACATCCTCTATAGGATGCCAAGCAGCTTAGGGAAGGAGCAGCTCACTCAGTCCATCCTTACTATCTCTTCAGTCATTGCCTCAACCCCTGTTCTTCCTCCTCCTACCTTCCATCTAATCTGAGAACAGCTCCTCTGCTCCACCACCCCGTCCTGAACAAGGCTCAGATTTAGAGCTGGATGTAGGGCAGCTCTGAACATTCAATAACAGGGTGTGTTTTGATTGGTTTAGTAGATGTTCTCTCTTTATTAAAACGGGCTACAGTTCACAAAAATATCATACCTTTATTTACTTCTAGTAAATTCAGCCCTATGTGAAGTTCTAACATACCAGAGTTATCCCAAAGTAAGTGGTTATTTATCCAAAACCAAGTGCCTACCCACATGACAAGATTAAAGAAGTTGCAATTCTGAATTTTTTTTTAGTTCTCTGCAGAAGCACTTTGAAGTGAAGTGTGATCAAGCACAGTATAAAAATAATATGGCATTTATTATTCAGTTTTATGAAATAGTTACTGCATCTAACTTATCTTTCATATAGTTCTGCTCTTATAATCATCTTACTTATATTATTCCTTTGGGAGATTACTGAAGATGAAATGTTAGTAACCTATAAAATTTCACCACACAAGAGAGAAGACTTGTCAAAATGTCATATCAGATCAAGACTGCCACTGATAAAGATTAACAAATTAACAAAAATGGACTGAACTTTTTTTTTTACTTGACTAAAGTAGAGTTTATCTGAACTGTCTGTGCCTCTGGTACATATTTAGATTAATCAAAACTCAAAAAAAGGCACCATGCATATGCTTTGTGCATACCTGACATAAATGCCATACTTGGGACATATTTTTAAGTTAAGATAACATACTGCAAATTCCTCCTCTTCAAACAATTCCCTCCCATTTTCAAGTGTCTGGGGAAAAAAGATGAGTCTTGCAATGTGCCTGAAGATCATCATTAATATCAGCTGCATCTTTACTTACTTTAAGACTCCAGTATAAATATTTTACTGTCCCCTCACCTTTCCAGGGGTAGGTGTTACAGAAAAGTTCTAGTATACATACTGCTTTTACTTTAAGAGTTCATTCACTGGTTGCAGTTAGTGTGTCACTAA